CCGGTCAGTAAAAAAGACAAAAAGGAAAAAAAAAAGAATTATTTAAGACAGACTCAGTTCTGCATATGAATATTTTTATTACAATGTATTTCATTTTTGGACTATCAATTAAAACAAAGTTTGAATGTATCTAATGATGTAAAGGGATTTTGAGGATCTCCCACTCTACTGCCAAGGGATTAGATACTCCCTCAGAACTAATGATACATTTCTTTAACAGACAAGTCATCAATTGCTGGCTCAGAAGATGCTGAACCTCTTGCCCCACCCATCAAACCAATTAAACCTGTCACCAGAAACAAGGCACCTCAGGAACCTCCAGTAAAGAAAGGACGTCGGTCACGGCGGTGTGGGCAGTGTCCTGGCTGCCAGGTGCCTGAGGACTGTGGTGTTTGTACTAATTGCTTAGACAAGCCCAAATTTGGTGGCCGCAATATAAAGAAGCAGTGCTGCAAGTGAGTGGATGTCTTACTCTGAGGTGTTGGCCTCTCAGCCAGGAAGGTTGCTTATTTATCCCTGGTTTGCTGCAGACTTGCATTGGGAAACTGAACGTGCTTGTATTGAACCTTCCGAGTTGTAAGATTAGTTGCAAAGTTGGATTTTGTGATGTGGTTAGGTTTGGGCTATACTTAAATGACAAATTCTCTGGGGCAATGCTGTCTGATACAATGTTCTGCAATACTGCTTCCGAGTTGTAAGATTAGTTGCAAAGTTGGATTTTGTGATGTGGTTAGGTTTGGGCTATAGTTAAATGACAAATTCTCTGGGGCAATGCTGTCTGATACAATGTTCTGCAATACTAGAAATGTTCTATGTATGCTTAGTTCAGTAAGGCAGCCGTTAGCTACATATGGCTTTAGAGCACTTGACATGTGGTTAGTGTGACTGAGGAGCTACATTTTTTATTTTATTTAATTTTAATTTTAATTTTAATAGCCACACGTGATGAGTGGCTACCATATCAGATAGTGCTCTGGAGGGTTTCTACTTAAATCCTGACAGTTTTAGGCATAATATTTATTGGGTCTTCTACAATCACTTTTATCTTTATGATATGCAGGAAACATTGGAGATATTTTGCATAAGTCTCTGTGCTCTCTGACTATCTCTCTTAGAATATTTCTATGCGTATAGAATTTTTGATATGGAATTTTAATTTTATTTATTTATTATTATTTTTGTGGCTGGAAGGACAGTTATCAAACCCTAGACCTTAGTGTTATCTGCACCACTCTCTAACCAACTGAGCTAACTGGCCGGCCCAAGAATTTTTTATTACTCTACATTGTCTTCCCTTTTTTTAGTCAGTTTGTGGATACATTTTCTGCTGACTGGATAGTTTATTTAAAATAGATCAAGAGAGTTGCATTAAACAGAAATTTTGGTGATTGAGCATCTCACAAAGTGCCTATCACAAGGAATAGATATTATCAATAGAAATTTGCTCAATGAATGAATAACATTAAAGTGATTAATATAAAGCATAATTGGGAGAAATGCTGTATTACATACTTCAAGGGAGACAATTTCTATGAGACGAGAAGTAGTTCTGTGCTTTAGTTTGGTCTGGACTTAAACAAGAATTTTGTCTCAGTCCCATTAGCAGAAAGTGAGAGTTCACTGATCACAAAAAGGCACATAATAGCAAGATAAAATTGCTCTAAATTTAGGACATGGATTTGTGCAATTTCAGACTTCAAACTAAGTTTGAGTTTCATTAAATTTAAATTGAGGGTTAAAATAAATCTCAGAGCCATGAGATACAGCCTTGCATTGGCAGACAAGGGACTTGTTAAGTAATTTTAGTCCATTTTGTGTTCAGATTACTATATGAATATTAATCTCATAAAGGAACAGTACTGATTTGACTACAAGAAATATTGACTGGTTATTTTGTATGTGGTGCTAGTCAGTACTGGATTATAAGAAATTTGAGTCCCATTTAAAAAATAATTTGATATTTGCTCATTTTAGAACCTAAGAGTGGTAAAATTGCTGGTCCAGGGAGTCAAAGGCTCAGATTTAATCTGAGCAACAAGCAGTCCTTTTTTCAGCTGTCAGAATGAACCTGAATGAAGATTCACCAATTTTTGCAGACAAATGAACACTTGTTTCAGTTGCTTCTCTTCTTAATGTAATTTATTTTGTGGTTTATAATTGTTATCCTAGGATGAGAAAATGTCAGAATCTACAGTGGATGCCTTCTAAAGCCTACCTTCAGAAGCAAGCTAAAGGTAGTGTTGTAAAAAGTTCTTCCCCACAGTGCTCCCTGCTTTAATGCTGTATAGTCTCATGTATATGCAGTAAAAAGAGAATACTAGTTCTGGGGGTTTCTTTTAGAGTACTGCCCTTTCTCAAGGAATTACTGGTTGTTGAAGCTGTGTGATAGATACATGGGGATTCATTTGACTATTCCCTATATTTTGGGGTATGTTTGAAAATTTCCAAAATAAATTTCTTTTTTAATTCATATAAAAATTATAGTCCATTCCATTTCCTAGAACAACAAAAGTGTACCTATTTTACCTGATCAACTTGGCATTAACCTTGTTGAGGCTTGCAGTGCTAATTTTAGCTGCAGGAAACTGAGAATAAGATTTTTACATTTCTATACTTCTATTTTAAGTAAAAATATTCTCAATTATAGATAGATGACCTTGTTTTTGTTTTTATTCTAGCTGTGAAAAAGAAAGAGAAAAAGTCTAAGACCAGTGAAAAGAAAGAGAGCAAAGAGAGCAATGTTGTGAAGAACTTAGTGGACTCTAGTCAGAAACCTACCCCATCAGCAAGAGAGGATCCTGCCCCCAAGAAAAGCAGTAGTGAGCCTCCTCCACGAAAGCCCATTGAGGAAAAGAGTGAAGAAGGGAATGCCTCTGCCCCAGGGCCTGAATCCAAGCAAGTCACCACTCCAGCTTCCAGGAAGTCCAGCAAGCAGGTCTCTCAGCCAGCACCAGTCGTCTCCCCTCAGCCACCTAGTACAGGACCACCGAGAAAAGAAGTTCCGAAGACCACTCCTAGTGAGCCCAAGAAAAAGCAGCCTCCACCGCCAGAACCAGGTAAGTGGGGAAAGCAAAAAGGAATTGCTGAACCACAAGTACTAGCAAAGAAGCACTGATGTCTTAAACAGCATTTGGAAACCTGAAATGTATAATTTTAAGTCTTCAGTGCAATAAAATTAGCTCTCTTTTAAACTACTATGTATAATAATAAAGAAATAGAAGCAAAAAAACAATTAAATTGGAAATACTGTTTTAATTTACTATTTGAAGTCAATAAAATTAGCTCTCTTTTAAACTACTATGTATAATAATAAAGAAATAGAAGCAAAAAAAAAATTAAATTGGAAATACTGTTTTAATTTACTATTTGAAGCCTGGAGTTTAAATAGTTTATTTTTTCTAATGCTCCTTTCTTCACAGGTCAATCAATCCTAA